TTATTTTTAGTACATGCAAATCAGTGTTTCAATTTAGTGCCCTCTATTGTGAGTAAAATGATTGATGTGGGATAACATTTTTCTTTCAGTTAAAATATAAAATGAACATTGTAGGAAAATGAACAATGTGGAAAAAATTAACATTATTTGTATGAGTCCTTGATAGGGACCAGAGAAAACAACCAATAGATGTGGGAAAACAATTGATATGGGAACAATAGATCAAGAATCCACTATATATCCAATTAAAAGGTTAAAAACATTTTTCAAAATCAGAACAGGAACAAAATGGACATCATCTATCCTTCCATGCATACAGCAATGAAACTATCACTTGGACTGTTATCCACTGAGAGAAGTGCTGTCAATATGTAAATTTCAAGATGTCCTCTGTCAATGAAATCTACATAAGCAGCACTAATGGATATATAAAAGATATCCATTTTGTTTCTGTCTGAAAGTATTTTTAACGTTTTTAACTGGATATATATTTTGTCATGTTTTAAAGGTATTTTTAATTTTTGACAACCAATTTTTAGCCTGAAAAGGAAAGTTAGACTACCATAAGATGTATTCCAGAACACAAAAACAAATAAAAAGGTGATTGTTTGAGGGACTCATCTTAAATTTAGTTTTAATTAATATTAAAATTATCATCTAGTAAATTTTATAATTTTGAAATATTGATATTTGGACTGACCATCTAGTACGAAGATTGTACAGTGTTTTAGGCTGAAGACTGAAATGGTTCAGAATCGAACAACAAAAGAATGTTATAAAGACCTTCAGACAGCATATAAAAATGACACTCTATCATACAAAACTGTTGCAAGACAAGTATAACAGTTCAAAAGAGGATGCAAACAAATGAATGACATATGGTCAGGAAGGCCTGTGGAAATGGTAGCATCACTGTTAAAAAGTAACAGAAAGTAGACAATTAAAGAACTTGATGCTGAAGTTTGATTGGAACACACAACAGTTTTGCTTATATTAAAGACCAAATTATGGCTTGTTTGGTTCCTCTTAATTTGACTGAACAGCTTTGGTAAGGATGTGTTGAATCAATAGCATTGGAAATTTTCAAACATACTCTCCTATGAGCCTATGTGACTACAATAATTTTTGCAAGATGAATAAACAATATGCAGGCAAACTAAGTCAAGAGAAATTATATGTGCAATAGGCCATGCAGTGTGAAAGTCAATAGAACTAAGTCAGCTGATAATATCAAACATCTTTCAAAATGATAGCATTTGGTCATACAGATGGGCAGAGACTAATGAAGGACGTAAATAACAGATATACAGAATAAAATATATGTATTGAATAGATACAATTTTCTCATTATTAAAAATTCTAACCCTCTTACAAGAATATGATATAACAATCTGTTTTATTTTATCTCTCTTATTTATGAGACAAAATATCTTAATCACAAGTGTAATAAGTTTGAAACTTCCAATAATTACTGGCTTGTAGGTTCCAATCTCTATTTTTATTGTTTCCTTCAAATCATATCATTTGTTAGAGATAGCTTTATTTCTTCTAAAATAGCTGCACAGTTTAACTTTACTTCTCATTTCAAACCCTTCTACCAGTTATTACAACTTCATTAAAAATCAATTTTACAATATTTTACTTGGTTCTTCATATTATCTAAATTAATTTTAGTTTTCTTACCATTAAATAAAGAAATAGCTCATATATTTGCATATGATGAATACAACCAACCTGATAATTACTAAGTAATTTGGAGGGGATTAGGGGGTTGGGCCACCATCTCTTGCTAAATCTTATAATTATAAATAAATAAATAAATAAATTTAATTTAATTTTAAAATATTCTGGAAGAAAAGACTGGCTGGGAGTGAGACTCAACCCTACAATTCCTGATCTTCACTTCCAAACTAATTAATTAATCTGGAATGAAATACTGGATGGAAGTCAGGGTAGCATAACTAGAGATGTATCTGCATGGTAAGCAGGAATTGCAGGTTTGAGTCCTGCTCCAGGCCAATCTTTTCTTCCAGAATATTCTATAATTAAATTAAATTAGTTAACTTGTTTATAATAATTAGAATTAACAACAGATAATGGCTTAACCACCTATCTCTTGCCAAATTACTTAATTATTTAGCCTTAATAGACAAGTAAAGGAATCCAGCTGTTTATTTGATATATTTGCCTACTTTATATTAATTCCTTTTATAATTAATGATTAACCTAATCAACACTTTCATTTATTTCATTTCATTTAGATCATTGGTTAATAAATAAGTAGGTGTTTTGTAGTGCTTTACAGTAATGTTATTTGGGAAATATGAATAGTGCGACTAGGTTATACTGAAACAGGATACACATATAAATTGGGTAAATTTTACTTGACTAATCATCAATACCTATGTCCCATTTCTCTATAGAAATACAGGTAACCCCCGTATAACACGGTAGTTACGTTCCAAAAAATTGCCGTGTTATGCAAATCCGTGTTATACGAAACAAAGAACTAATACGAAAAGGAGGGTTAGGTTCCAAAAATTAAAAAACATGCTAGTATATTTTCATAATTAAGATAAATATCTTCATTAAAATTTTTTTAAGTGATACATATTAATATAAATTAAACAATGTTTTCTTCGTCATCACTAAAAACACTATTAATTAACCGAGAGCGTTTTCTTTTTGGCAAGTTATCCTTATCCTCTGAGCATTTTTCTGCATTATCTTCAGATCCATGCTTTACCTTTTGCAAAATGTATGTAATTTTAGATTGCTTGCTTCTAGTTAAAACGTCTTTATAAATTTCCTTATATGGTGCTAAGTACTTATGAAGAATAAAGCAAGTATGGAATAAGGGAAAAACATTCGGCAACATCAGAAGCAGAAGTGTCATGATCTGGCAACATTGAAACAAGTTTCGAGAAGGACCACGTGTATCGACAGAAGGCGAGAAGAGAAAATTTACATACTTAAGTATTGATACTAATAGTTCACAAAAATAATAATTTTCGTGAACTATTATTACTTAAGTATGTAAAAATTTATTACTTTTGCTGTTGTACGAGGGTTTAACCCAATTCTCAAACCGTGTCAGAGTAAATCCGTGCTATAAAAGTACCGTGTTATACGGGGGATGGTACCAATTCTCAAACTGTGTTAGAGTGAATCCGTGCTATAGAAGTGCCGTGTTATACGGGGGTTACCTGTATTATATTTCATGTAACATTCTTGGTTTTTTTTAAAAAGAAGATTTTTATTTTGACATTATTCACATTCTTTGATCTCAAAATGGCATTCAGATTTCACACAAATTTTTATAGGAAGAATTTTCTGTCATTATTGGGCTGTAATTTGAAAAAATTGCAGCCCAATAAATTATAGACCTATAAATTCCCATTGTTGTCTGTCTTTCCTTAATCTCGAGAACAGAGTTAGATAGATGAAAGCCGAGACCAGATATGGAAACCATATGTGCAGGAGGCACCAATCAACTATATACGACTTTGGTGCAAAATTGGAAGTCACATTATTTCAATTCAAAAATTTTTCCCTGAAAAGAGTTAGATGATCTGCATGACTATTGTCAATGAAAAAGTATGATGTACAGAGGCAAGACTCTCCTAATTTGAGATGGAGAACATATATTTTAATTGCTCATTTTTAATGGTGATATAGAAAAATATTAATATTTTATGAAAAATAAAAAACTGAAAAAATTTTATTTTAGAATAACAATCTATAACAACACAATGAATTTTAAAAATATAAAATTAAATTATAATATCAGCTTAATAATATGCTTATTCAAAGTATTTGAAATGCTTTGAATCAGTATTTCTCAAACTCTTTTAAATCAAACCAGATGATCTGCTGAATTATCAGGCTGTAATAAGGTTAATTTAATAATTAGAAATGAAACAATTTGTCTGGAGATAAATGGTTAGGCTGCCATCTCATGTTAATTTTAATAATTATAATAAATTAATTTAGAATTTTTGGAAGAAAAGAAGACTGAAGTAGAGATCCAGTTACACTACCTGGACCTCTCTTCAATCTTCATTTCCAGAACTCTTAATTTAGATATAACTATACAGGTCACTAGGGATTACCATGTCAACTAAGAATGACTTAAGTGCCCTTGGCCACCTCAATAGTTGGCTGAATGCCATGGAGACAGTTCTCTAGAATGCAGCTCTTCCAAAAACAAGAAAAGCTTCCCATTGTGAATACTCTCCTATTATTATTATTATTATTTGGAAGTAGTTTTTGATCAATTTCAACTTTGAAAATGATTGTTCTGCAGATGTAATAGATATCAATTTAACTAGTAAAATATACTACTGAATTTAAGCCTCTCAAAGTACAAAGCCCTAGATGCCACCTTTCATCTTCATGTATGGCCACTCCTGTATTCCAGAGTCAGATTCCTTTAAAGTATAGTTTCTCAATCATTCAAAAAAAAAAAAAAAAAATTATTTTAATTGCTGACATCAACATATTAAAATAATGTTTTATTTAGACACCTTATATGTTTCTGTACTGATGAATAAAGAGAATAAAAAATATTGTAAATAGTGCCTATACTTAACACAGATCATGCATTGATTTGTAAGAAAATTGCTAATTTAATTGATTAAAAATTAACTGTAAAAATATCAATTTATTATTAAATATTTTAAAAAATTTTTCTAAATTCACTTATTTTGTTGAAATAATTACAGCCATGTGATTTTTAACTTACCCATCCCTCCAGCTGTAGGGGTGTTTTGTGCTTTTCCCATATCCCCCATCCTTAAACCAAACTGCACAAGTTTATGAATAAACCCTTAGGACTACAAAAAATTTCCATCGTGCATTTTTGACATTCAGAACACTTACCCCTCTTCATGAAATCTCAAGACTCCATAGAACCCAGTTTGAGAAACACTGCTCTAAGTACATATAAACACATACAATTTCAAATTTAAAATCTACATGTTATATTATATATGCAATACCTGTGTTCCAAGATCCCAAATCATACACGTGGTATCTTGTGAACCAGTCATTAAATGAGTGTTGCTATAATCAATTGCCAAGCAGGTTACAACATCTACACAAAAAATAATTTTCTTATTTTATCATAAATCAATATTAAAATCATAAATTTTGTAAAAATGTACTCTAAAATATTGAACATTAAAAATGAAAAATTTTTTATAAATATTTTAATGATTAATTAATATGAAAGTTTAACGACTAAAATTGACAAAATAACTTTTTCTAAAAGTAACAATAAAAATTAATATATTAATTTATTTTAAACTAAATAGAAAAGTTCCCTTTTCTGTTATTATTTAAATTTTATAGAAATAATATTAATAGAAGTTGACAATTAACAACAACAACAATAAAATCACATTTATGAAGATCTTCCTATTTTAATCATCTTTCATTCAATTCAACTAATTGAGTTGAGTGAAAAAAGAAGAGTTTCATGTCATGTAGTCCTCCACAAACATTCTTTGTAAAGGACTATCTTTTATGAAACCAACAACTGCTTCATTCAGAGAACTCACATACAAAAAAAAACTAATCAGAAACTGTAAAATTCTGATGTTATGCAGTTACAAAATTTGTTACTAAATAGAATATTCATAAATTGAATTTTTCTTTTCAAATGTTTTTTCTTTGAAACATTCACACATTGAGCAGTTTTTAAAATAGTTAAAAATGGAACAATAGATTTAAATTCAAACTCCATATACTTTTTCAAAAATCACACAACTGTCCCATCCTGTTCACCTTCCCCTCCTTTTATTTTTTACTTAGCCATTTCTATACATGTGGAAAGTTAACTATCTTGTCTCTCCTACTACAATTATGATGGCTGAACAGATTGAGATTCATAACTTTTTCCCTTACTCTAAACTGTCATTTCCTTCCAAGTTTATCTTCATCTTAAGCTAATCTTCCTGTGACTACTGTCACACTAGAAAGAACACTTCCAAATTTAAAGTGTTTGAAAACTTGAGAAATAGTATGTCAAATTCAAAATTAAAAACATTAGCTTTATCTTTATATTATAATCAAGATGGGTTGATAATAATAATAATAATAAGTGCAGAGCCCAAACAGTTAGGAGTTGAAAGTTGAAATTTGGTACACCTTTAGGGTACTTCACAAGAATGCACATTAAGAAGGGATTTTTGGAAATCCCCCTATGGGGGAGAAGAGGGTTAAGGATTACCCTGAACAACTCAGCTTCTACTATACTATTTTAGATGCAGGTTTTTGCATTTTTGTGGGAAATTGAATGTATTTTTACACCCATCTAAAAATTCTCTAATTAGCTTTGGAAGACAGGGGACCTAATTCTTGCACTCAGTGAAAACGAATAAGATCGGCTATATAAGTATAAAGGTTATCTTACATAAGGGTTTATCACACTGAAAATTCTTGATTCCTCTACTGTACACAATTTAAAGAATTTTTAAAATGTGTTAGATTGGGGACTCAATGTGATAAACTCTTATTTAAGATAACCTTTGTAAATATAAATTAAATGCTATAATATAATATAATAGAAGAATTAGAAATACAAAATAATCTAAAAATCTTAATTGTTGTTGTTGTTATTTTTTGCCTGGGCAACACTGGTCTCATCTGCTAGATAAATACATACAAAAATATTATTATAAATTCAGAAGAAATTATGTTTAAAATGTCATCAAAGCCTAATAGTTATATATTTATTTATACTGAATTAGCATGTTTTGTGATTCTTTTTTAAGTTTCATTACTATCTGATTCCCAAATCATCTTTAGTGGTTTCCAATCATCACTGGTAATTACAATTTTATATGGGATCATGATGACCTAGGAAATGGCATGTTTGAGCCTCCTCAAAAATGTTATTAGCAATTTAAACTATTGCAATATAAACAAATAATAATAAAAACAATTAATGTTTAATATTGGTTAAAACTGATAATGATTGCAAGTTATCAATCTTGTGTTGAAGGTGAAAACATAAAGAAACAGTTTAAAATGCCTAATTACCTGAATATATTGATTACTTATTATAATCAAAATTTCATTTATTGTTAAGTTTTATAAATGTATTTTAACTTACATAGTTTGAGACATGCTAATTCTTATAACGTTAGATGACTGATTATAGTAAATTCTTTGATTTTAATCATAGATATTGTCTTTTTCATTCTTTATTTTATTATTTATATTGTCAACAAAAATAGGAGTTATATAAATATTTTAAGTTAAATTAAAACTTTCAAAAATTTATGTAATTTCTGTGAAAGTTACTTATCTACAATGTTATTTTCTACATTATTTTCAAATAGCAATACTTTTCTTTTCTATTTATATCAAAGCATTTTAGCAGATATATATATATATATATATCTAATATATTTTTAAACTGTAAATAGTCTTCAGTTTTAAAAATTAAATATTATTTAATTAAGCATTATAAATGTTTTTAAACATAAAATTCAAATATGCACTATTCATTATGCTTTAATAATATTGACACTTTCCAAAAAATAATATAAAAAAATATGCTTTCACTGTTTCATTGAAAATATTCCAAATTCATTGAATCTGTTGAATTAATATTTTAAAAAGAGTCAGGTTAGTTTGCCAGACTTAATTTCTAAGTTTCCAACATAGACCTTTAACAGGAATGAAATATTTTTGAAATTGCATATTATATTTTGTTAAAATGGATTTATAGTAATGTAAATTTTATTCATCATCCTTAGTATAACATAGATGACCCACTTTTTCATAACTGTAGAAAACTGAAAGAGAAAAGCCATGCTATAAACTGGCTTAATGATAAGTAAACAAGAAAAATAAAATAAAAATATATATCAATAACTTATATTTATTAATGAGACTGATTAAAATACTGACTTACTATCTTGCACTTATAAAATAACTTTCTCATAAATCAGCAAACCAAACAATACTTTAATTAGATTTTAGCTAATGTTTCTTGCTCTTTTTAAAGGCCATCATCAGATTGTTACAATTGAAAAACAATCTTTCAAATATATTGGAACATCAAATACAATATAAATCAAAGTGTTTTAAATTTACATTTAACTATGTAATTAGCTGAAATTAATAATGTACAAACAAACATAATATAATATAAAAATAAAATTACAACCATCTTAAAATATTATAGACCAGCGGTTGGCAACCTTTCTTGCCTCAAGGATCACTAAAGTCACAATTTTGAATCCCGCAGACCATTATCATGAATTTTTTTAAACAATACAAAATCTGTAGAATAATGNTCATTATGCTTTAATAATATTGACACTTTCCAAAAAATAATATAAAAAAATATGCTTTCACTGTTTCATTGAAAATATTCCAAATTCATTGAATCTGTTGAATTAATATTTTAAAAAGAGTCAGGTTAGTTTGCCAGACTTAATTTCTAAGTTTCCAACATAGACCTTTAACAGGAATGAAATATTTTTGAAATTGCATATTATATTTTGTTAAAATGGATTTATAGTAATGTAAATTTTATTCATCATCCTTAGTATAACATAGATGACCCACTTTTTCATAACTGTAGAAAACTGAAAGAGAAAAGCCATGCTATAAACTGGCTTAATGATAAGTAAACAAGAAAAATAAAATAAAAATATATATCAATAACTTATATTTATTAATGAGACTGATTAAAATACTGACTTACTATCTTGCACTTATAAAATAACTTTCTCATAAATCAGCAAACCAAACAATACTTTAATTAGATTTTAGCTAATGTTTCTTGCTCTTTTTAAAGGCCATCATCAGATTGTTACAATTGAAAAACAATCTTTCAAATATATTGGAACATCAAATACAATATAAATCAAAGTGTTTTAAATTTACATTTAACTATGTAATTAGCTGAAATTAATAATGTACAAACAAACATAATATAATATAAAAATAAAATTACAACCATCTTAAAATATTATAGACCAGCGGTTGGCAACCTTTCTTGCCTCAAGGATCACTAAAGTCACAATTTTGAATCCCGCAGACCATTATCATGAATTTTTTTAAACAATACAAAATCTGTAGAATAATGATCATAAAAGTTCAATTTTACTATATTAATTAATATGAAACTCACATGTTTAATTAAAACAAATTAATGCAAGCCTAAAGTTCATTGCTGCTTGTTTGAAACAAGTTTATGTATTCTTTGCACTTTTCCGCAAAGGACGACAACTGCACTCACAATATTGTTATTGTTCATTATTTATTGATAACAATCACTTCGTTTTTGGTTTTAGATTCAAATAAAAATCCCCAATGAGTGAAAAAAGCAACTAAGCATTTTGCATTTCTTTTGTAATACTTCATGTAACCTTCAGTTGATAAATGTTCAAATTTCTCCATGGATCACCCAAATTTTTTNTTTCTTGCCTCAAGGATCACTAAAGTCACAATTTTGAATCCCGCAGACCATTATCATGAATTTTTTTAAACAATACAAAATCTGTAGAATAATGATCATAAAAGTTCAATTTTACTATATTAATTAATATGAAACTCACATGTTTAATTAAAACAAATTAATGCAAGCCTAAAGTTCATTGCTGCTTGTTTGAAACAAGTTTATGTATTCTTTGCACTTTTCCGCAAAGGACGACAACTGCACTCACAATATTGTTATTGTTCATTATTTATTGATAACAATCACTTCGTTTTTGGTTTTAGATTCAAATAAAAATCCCCAATGAGTGAAAAAAGCAACTAAGCATTTTGCATTTCTTTTGTAATACTTCATGTAACCTTCAGTTGATAAATGTTCAAATTTCTCCATGGATCACCCAAATTTTTTAACAGACCATCAATGGTCCGTGGACCACCAGTTGCCGACTGTTGTTATAGATAACCTAGTCAACCCATTTAATTAGACCCGTTTAGGAATCTCATATAGAGACCTCCAGGTTTTGGACACAATGTGCCTGTTCTAACTTTCCTTATCTTTTCTATTTATACATTTCTAAAGATTATACAGTAGAGCGTCAATTATCCGAATCAATTGGGGACTGGGGTTGTTCGGAAAATCGATATTTCGGATAACCGATTATGTACAAAAAAATATATTAACCTATCCCATGTTGAAATTTTTCTCCGTTGCATGTCACTTCTTGTTGAATTTTCATCGATGTTAAGCCTAATGAAGACTATTGTATCATTAAATTATTTTTTTATTTTGTACAAACAAAATAAATATATTGAAAAATATAAAAACAATAAAAAATTATACTTCAGAAGTTAATTTAGTATCAAAAACGTAAAATATTTGAGTAGCCCAAGACATAGCCAAAGATTGCAGTGCCACAGCACTGGTAAAAATTTAAATTTGCTGACTGGAATTCTTTCGGATAATTGACGTTTCGGATAATTGACTTTCGGATAATCAACGCTCTACTGTACTTATATACATTAGATTGAATCTCCCTTTTAGGGGTCTGATGATTCCTGTCTCATCCCATTTTACTGACACATCATCTTCCTTAGTGTATACAGTCAATGGACAGGTATTCCTTTTTGAGTATGTAATGATGTTCCTGATAATAGGCTTTAAAAATATCCAAAAATGTTAGCTGGAGTTTAATTAAAGTATTGCTTAGTAATATAATAATTCTTTTAAAATTTTAATATAATGCATAATTTAATCCCTACATCTAATAAAGAAATTAATTTACCTAAATGTTTTGTGACACGAGCAATTAATTTAACTTTAGGCAAACTATAAATACAAAAACTATTATCCCATAATCCACCACAAAATAAGAATTTGGCATCATCTGTAACAACATATAGTTGATTTGTTATTTCAAGTCCAGGTTGAAAAGATCCAGTAATCCTTTTCAGATTTCTGTAATAAAATATAAATAAATTACTAGATTGTTTAGAATTAAATATCTGACTAACTATTGAAAATATGAAATATATAAAAACATTATGTTCATTAGTATACTTTCTTTTATAAAAATAAATAACTTTTGTGTTATTTTAAATTAGTTTATTTCTTCAATAGATTTTAATGTTCAATTAATTTTACTTTATAATATTCAGATATAAATTAACAATGAAATTATGCTCAAATTATATAACTGAATTATCACTGAATTAAAAAATTAATAGTTATTAAATGTTGATTAATATTAATTCATTTAACTCTTCTTTAAAGTGCCTCAATTAATAATGACTTCACTGTGTTCAGTTCATTTCTATTAGTAACAATATTGTAATTTCAATTACTGATGACTACCACATGTGCTATTCTCATTCTTAAGTTCATTTTAAATGTAAGTTAGCATTTTCCAAAACTTTATATTTACATTTCTTTTTCAAATAGTTAATGTTTGTATTTAAATTTTATTCTAATGTTCCTAAATTATATTCACTTCTTTGCCTGAAGATAACATTTATAAAATGTTGAAAGTGCTTGTGATAGTAAATAATAATAATAATCATTTAACACCAATAGACAATGGTTATATCATTCTTTAAGTGGATTAATAATCAGTACAGGAGCTTTCAGTTTAAAATGCAAAATTACATTATAATAAATTTCCAAAACTAGAAATGTTTATATGAATAGAATAAAATATTCTAAAATCTACAAGTTCTCATTATGTTATCACTGTAATGGCAGAAAAAAATAGCAGCTTAGATCTTTATAACTAACTTTTATGTTGAAGAATAAAATTATCACAAACATTATTCAAGTTTAAAACAAATTTTATATTATTATTATGTCAAAATTTAATTAGATTACTTTCTAGATAAAATTTATTTATGTATTTCAATCTCTGTCTGATATAATGTTAATTTGATTAATAATTATGATTTAATACGAATAAATTTAGTTAGCTAGAATGAACAATTAAGCTTACTTGATTGTATATTACTTTATCAACATTAAAAACAAATGATTGCCAGACTAGATTAGGCTATATTGCTGCTGCTATTAATTATTAAAATATAAATAATTTAGTCTACAGGTAGGCATTAGGTGTCATCTCTTATTAAATTTTATATTTAATTAAATGAGCTGGAACCTAATGCCTACCTATAAGGTAAATTACTTAAGCTCTTAATTATTGATAGCAGCAGTAATACAGTATGATCTAATCCAGAAAGCATTTGGCTTTAATGTAACTATCAGATTTATACGGTTTTATATTTGTACAATAGTAAGAAGTTTGACTTAAAATGGCAAGAATAAACAAACACTAGCAGTAGAAAGTTAAAAAATAATTTTGTCTATCATATCTTTCTATAAATATGAAAATAATAGTTCTTAATCATTCATAACAACTTTTTTTTAAGTTTTATACAAATTAAATTAGAATCAATTGGTAATAAATTATTTGAAAGCTATAAATGTCAATGAATAAAATCTTTTTTGTATCTTTTTCTCCCATCTAATTCAATCATTTGATCATACAAATAAAAACAATATTTTGGAAAATACTGAAACTTGAAAGTCTGTTAATCAAGTCAGTTAATTTGTCATAATAGTGACAGTCCATCAGTCCTTGTATACAAAACATTTATTTAATTGAAAATTTCAGAACTTATATTGTTATTAAATATTTACTTATTGCTTGAAGAGGTAGGATCTTTTTCAAATGTATAATAATTAGGAATAGTTCGAGCTCGATCATAAGGTAGCCAGCCATGGACTCCAATTATGCCATTTTGACTAACAGTCACTAGTGGTTCTAGCATACCATGTTGAATAAAAGATCGAGTTGGGCTTCTTGGAATATATACAAAACAAATGGGACTAGAACCAACTGCAGCCTGCAATAAAAATTTTATTCACTAAGATTAAAAAAAAATTTATTATGAAATAATTATAAATATAGAATGATTTTATTAGTTTTATTTTCTGCAATCCATAATACTGTAATAATATAATAATAATAACAATGAAAGATAATAAATTATATAAACATTCAAAATTCATAAAATACATGAGTTATCAGTTTATTTATAATAAATTAAAAGTTTGAAAATACTAATAAAATAAAATTATTTCAAAATTAAATTTTAAATTTAGTGATTTAAAATTACTTCTGTTTTCTAATAAAAAATGTAGTACAAACTAAACTATATGAGTAATCAAGAAATGAAACTTTAATTATCAGAAATGAAATGATTAGATTTTCATTCTTGATTAATAAAAATAGTGGCATTTTTCTCCTATAATAAAATGTTTCTTTTTAAATATTTAATTTCTTTATTAATGCTGACATGGATACTGATATTAAATACTAAGGGATTCAAATCTCTTTTCAATTTTCAAATACAGACACTCCTTGACTTATGATGTTTCAACATATGATGATGATGTGAGTGAAATGTAAGTGCAGGAAAGAATTTGAATTCAAGCTGATTTACTTTTCTGATGCATTAATAATCTTTCTTGAAACATTTTTTTTATATATACCATCTTACATCTGCTTGTATTTTACAGTAAACCCATTATGTCTGCAAAATGTCTTGCTGTGTCTCAATGAGAAACTAAAATAATACATAAGCATGACAATAACTGTCATGAGTTTGGACTATTGCAATCAATGATAGCCCAAACTCATGTTACATACTGTATAATATTACATATAGCCTACTTTTTATTTATTTATCTATCTTTATTTTTGACTTATGATCTAATTATGATTACATTCTGAAAAACTAACCAATAAGTCAAGGAGCGACTGTAATTCATTTCTCTTAAAATTTTTAACTTTAACATATTTCATTAAATTTTTTGTGTCTTTTTTACATTAATTTATAATAAAATATTAAAAATTAAAAAAGCTTACATAACTAAATTTTATATTATGCCACTGTGCTTATCTGATTTAAGGAAAACTAAAGAATAAAATTTACACATGAAAATAATACAGAATTAAGTTAACCTCAACAAAAAATGCTTTCAATTTCTGAAGAAAGTGAAATAAATTTGGAGGTTTGGTGTCTGATTTTGTCATTCGTAAAGTTGCTTCTTCAAATGACATTCTTCTTGGATGTGGTTCCTATAAAATTAGAATATAAATTTTAAAATTCAAATTTATCAAATATTACAATTATATAAAAAAATTTCTGAAAGTAATTATAAAAATATTGATGACATCTCTACTAAACTGCTCTGAATTTTGCCTATTATTTTCAGGTTTGAAGTTTTAATCATTTTGCAATTTAGACAATTTAACATGAATGTGCTGTTAACTATCATAATATTTTCTCAATAAACAGACATTGAAATGTTTATTGTGATTAAAAAAACTTATTCTCATAAAATGAAGTATTATATTTATTTTTTGCAATGGAATGAAAACTTAAACATCAGAAAAAAGTAAAGATAATCAAACTGTAGTTTTAATTCAAAACATTATGTGAAACAAAAATTAAAAAATAATGATTTATACTTGCAAACATTTTTTGTTTATTAATAAAATTATCTACACAGTTATTGCATAAAAAATCAATTTATTCTTTTAGAAACATTCCAGACAAAATCCAAATTACTAAAGCATCAATGTAATTATTGTTGATTTAAAAATAATCATACTGTATTTTTCAAAACATGACTATATTGCTTTACACAGATAAACTGTGTAAAGCAATATAGTCAGTTCCCAACTTGCAAACATCTGTTCCTGAATTTTTAATGCCAATACTAGTGGGTCAAAAATTATTTCTCAATCCAAACTGCTAATTAGTAGAATAATTAAATGTTAAATGTAACACTATAATGGGTAATACACACACTATAAAATAACTGGTAAATTTATTTATTTTTAACTTTAATTCAAGTTCATGTCATTAATGTCTCAAAATCAAAAATAAAATATCAAAAGCTGATTCATACTTCATGAGAATTGAAAAGTTTTTTCTAATTTGACATTTATATCATTAATTTCTATTGTTCTAGTCTATATTTTCCTTATCTTAATAATAAAATTATTCTTTTTAATGTATGCTGGATAGCATGAATGGTAATTAATAACCTTTTTTGTTATTTGTTTTTTCAAATATTTGTAAAACTAAATTTATTTTTAAACCTTTTTATAGATATACAGTAGAACCTCTAATATCCGGACCTCCATTATCCGGATTTTCTATTATCCGGATTGTTCAAAATGAACAAAAATTTTATGAATTTGCTGATTTTCACTTGGCAAATTACGATACTGTTTATGTACGTGATGGAATGCATAACTTTTTTTGTTTCAACAACGTCTCACCCAGCACAGTGGTCGTAAACTCTTNGTAGACTTTTTTAATGTATGATACAAAGTAATGTCATCAAAATATCTTAAAAGAAATTTCAGGAATAATTTTTTATATATCAATATCAATTATCACCAATTCATCTAATTCAGGTCTAATCACTGATCCCATATTGATTCCATCTGTTTGTCTATAAAATTTGTTTTCTAATTTAAAGTGATTATTTTTATATGTATATTCAATTTCATTAACCAATCTGGTATTTTTTCTATTTTAAAAACTTTACTTACTGTTGTTCAACATACAGGTGGGTATATATTTTTAATATCAAGGCACATCATTTCATATGAGTATTCAAATACCATTTTATTTAGTCTTCTAATCAAGCCATTAGCATTTTTAATGCTATAAACAGAAAAATTTAAATAATGGATTAAAGATGAAAAATATGGTGTGATGTTATTAACAGTAAATGTAAATCACCAACAGTAGATAATGTTAAAGTGAAGTTGTAAGTTTATAAAACTGATCAGTTTAACTGAAATATAGAAATTTTAAACTATTAAATGTAAGTTCTTGATTTGAAATTTTTTAAAACTTTTCATAATTAATGCAAGAATTTTGTTTTTTGAAAATAAGGTCCAACAAAAGCTGTATATGGGTAACAATTATAATATTTTGTTTCTGCAAACAAATAACAAATATACCAAAGTAAGTTATGTAATAATAATTATAATGTATTTGTAAGTTATAAGTTATTTATACAAAAATTTTTTTTCGTTTTGCAGTCTGAAGAGGAGTCAGATAAGTATAATTAATAAATATGTATAATTATGTATAATTAATAAAAGTATGTTTTAAGAATTGTCTTCTGAGTGATCAGTCTGATGAGAACATGCTCTCATATAAGATTATTTCTTCTCATATAAGATTATTTTTAATCACTACAATAAAGTTGTTAATATTGATTCAGCCAATACATAGACAAAATAATTGGATTTACATTACATATGTTAGTTTTAAGAAACATCATTTAAGTCTAAGACTAAAATTTTATAATCATAATATATCATTATGAGTTTTTCTTTTGTACAAATTGTTGCATACTTATTGTATGAACTAGTTTTAATGGATACTCATTCAATAAAACTAATCTGACTCATTACTAAATTTTCTATTTTTATTACATTAATATCTTTGTATGCATTATTTAAAAATTAATTATTATTAATTACTTTAAAAAGTTGACAAGGAGTTTGTCCGAAATTGTTAATCATGCCCTCTGTAGCAGCACGCTCCACTGGATCTTGAATTGCATCCAGATCTACAGCACCTAATAACAATTATAATTCTATTAGGAAAATATTTAGTGTAAATAAGTAATATTGCAAATTAATCAACACAATAAGATTCAAATTTGCTTGTATTGTCTAAATATATTTTAAAGCATAAAAATTAAATCATTTTTATTTAAATTAGAAATGATGATTGAATTAACTTGTTTCAGTGCATATAGTAAATATTTTGTAAACTATCAAAAGAAGATAAAGTTAAATGTAAGAGTAAAAAGAAAGCAATTTACATGATTAATAAACTAAATCAGTAACTCTATCATGATAAACTATCAATAACAAACTATAATTTATGATAAACTATCAGTTAAACACGTGAGAGCCTGGACTTGACGAAAAATTTTATTCAAAAATTTTTTAAGAGTAAAAAACTAAAAAGGATATGATTATATCTTTTCCCATGGACTTGCTTCCTTGTCCAGAGATGAAACATCTTCTGAATATGTCACCAGGAACCTAATAACCAGAATTCATCTATTGGATGAAGAACTTAACATTACCAAAGATGGGCATGAGAAAAAAAGAGGAGGACCCCCAAATAACAGAGAAAATTTCATATAGAATAGTAATAATAAAAGAAAAAAAAAGATTCCTTGATACACATTGAGATTTACAGAATGCTAATTAAGAATGAAGCTTGTGGCAATGACCTGAAATACATCAATGTAATGAAGAGAGAAATGAACAAAAGAATTTCAGAACTTATTAGAGACAATAAATGTAAAACAGATCATGTTCAAGATATCTTTGATAAGAATAATAATAAAAAGAATTGATTACATAACTAGGTTCAAGTATAAGAATATTTAAGACTGCATGATAACATTTAAACTGAGTTGGTTTGGATCTGTGGAAGAAGCTTTAAGTACAATATAATCAATTGCAGGGATTCAGATTTTCTCTCTCTCTCTCTCTCTTCTCTGAAGATGGCTAATCTCCATTAAGTTGGGCTTTAAGATATTCACAATTTTAAATTTAATACTTTGTTATATAATTTTATGTAATGGTAATTCTAAAAAAATTGTACTTGGTTCCATAATGAGAAATTTGCTTCAATAATTATCAAAAACCGTATATACAATAAGACCCTGCTTATATAAGAATCAATGAAATACCATGATAATTTGAATCAGTGTAAATTTTGAGCTTTTTAGGCTTCAAGCAGACTACATTATATCAAATCAGTGTTAATTACAATTATTCCCAAACATGAATCAATCAGCAAAAGGTGGCAATTCGTTGTAGTGCTGCACTTTCCGTAAAATCTATGTTTGTTTGATGCAATTTTGGAAAAAAAATATAACATCATGGATGTCATAGACAATATCAACTTTGCTCGGCAGAATTAACTGATAAATGCATGAACGAAGTGTGGAAGTTATGGCTGAAGGTATCCAAGAATTCTCAACGAGAAGAGCCTATTGCTGTCGATGAGCAGGATATTGAGGAGTTACTGCAGGTTTCTGGTGAGAGCCTTACCAATGACAACCTTCAAGAACTGAAAGAACAAGGAATTCACATAGAACTGGAAAATAGTGATTCTGAAAATGAAAACCCAAAGAATTTCTCTACAGATTTCCTTAGTAAAAGTTTGGTAACAATAACCGAAATTGTTGATCAAATTGTAGTAAATGATCCAAATTTTGAAAGGAGTGCAAAAGTAAGATGAGGCGTTTTGAATGTGATCTCTTGCTACTGACATTTGCTTAAGAAAAGAAAAAAAAAGCAACAAATGAACACTAGACAACTTCATCATAAAAAGAATCAAGAATTTCAGAAGAGCCAGGACTTTCAGCACAAAAAATGAAATTTACATTTCTGTGTGCATATGCTTATGTGTTATTTAACATATATTATTATGCAAATCAATATAAAAATAACTTAAAATTAAAGAAAAACCTGTTTATTTTTGGACGCACGTTCTCCTTTCCCTATTTACTGTGTTAAAATGACCTCATTTAATGCTGTTTCGTTTAGCACTTTGTCGTCTAGAAACATATCCCCTGTGTTAAGCAGGGCCTTACTGTACTTGTTATTAAGGTTGAGGCTTATTCACAAATAATGTGGCACACACTATTTGGATACAATCACATAATTAAAAAATATTTACTATAGTGTCATATTATTTGTCAATAAACCTCAACCTTAATAAGAAATTTGCTTGTTTTAACACCCATAACAATTTTGTTTTTAGTTCTATATATTTTATTATTCTAATTAATACAGTAGACCCGCCTATAACGCTTAGATACGTTCCACGCTAATCGAATTTTACGTTATAGGAACGATTAAATACATGATCCAATCGCAGCCCGATAGGTGGGAACTTTACGGACTAAGGCTGTTCGAAAGGTTTTCTTCTATAAAATTAACCGATTCTAGACTAATTCGACTCAACATTTCCAAAACATGTATAATTTTTTGGGAGTAATTCGTATAAACTATGCTATAAACAAAAAATTATAGGATTACTTACCGAGTGTGTACCGTTCGACTACGCCGTTGCTTAAAGCTGGTTTTCATCACGGAACAGCACATTAAACGGCGGCCGCGATTTCTAATAACGAATTTTTCGCATAAAAATAACTTGACCTTTGGAGACATCATTAATATAAATATGGACGTTGAATAAGAAGTGTTTCTTTCACAAGAAATGTATAAAATTAGTGCTGTATTAGACTTACGGTACCTAATTTACATACTGTACAGACGATAATAAACTCAACTTACTAGCCTAAAATCTCCGTAGTGTGTTGCCAGGCGGCAGAAAGCATATATATAATTATAATAAAGTTACAATAAATTAATTTATATATAATTATATGTACAGTACCTAATTTATATATAATTTATATATAATACTAAACAGATGATAGCAAACTCAATTTAGCCGCTCCGTAGCGTGGCGCAGGGTCGGAGGAAAGTAGTTCGGCTGCTCATCCACTATTGGACCAGACTATCAATCTTGTCGCGAAAGGAGGTACGTTATACGAAAGTTGCTACAATTTTTTCGCTACGTTATAGGAATTGTCGTTATAGGAACGTATGTTATAGGGGGGTCGACTGTATAACATTAACTTAATTTTATTGTTTATATGTTTATTCTAAAATTTGTACTTTAGATTCCTTAATATCAAATAATATTCCCATGGAAAAGAAAATGTTACTCATTATATGTTAGTATAGTAAATACTTTTTAATTCTTTAAGCATTCGTAAGTGATGTCCAAAAGCATTATAACTCTTGTTATTGTATTTAATTCAGGGCTATGGAGTCGGAGTCGTGGAGTTTTGGTGTTTTAGCCGGAGTCGGAGTCGGATTGGTAAGGAAAAGTCAAAGTCGGAGTCGGAGTCGGTAGATTTTTATGTGACTCCACAGCCCTGATTTAATTTTTAATTTGATTTAAACTCCATTAAAGCAAATTTTTTCTAGTTTATTTTTTTCTAAATGTATGAAGTTATTTCTTTTTTATATACAAATTATTTACAAAATAAGATTACTCTAAATTTTATCAAATATAATTTGTTTACCTTCATAGGAAACATAGTAGAACATATTCAATGCATCTACAGCAGCAGGTCCTTTTTGTTTATATCCAAATATAAGATCAATCCATTCATGTAAGTGTCCTGAAACATATTCTGATTCCTAAATAAGTATTTAAATAAATTTTAATGATAATAAAATACAAATAAGAAGAATACAAAGATGCTGTATATAACTAACCAGTGCTTTCCGATGTTTATAGATAAAATCTTCAGGAGATTTTGCCCAAGGAGGTAGTTTAACATGATTAACTTTTTCCTTTGTTCCCTGTAACTTTCCAAGATCAAATCCTGAAATTAAATCATATAACTTAAAGTTGTGCTCAATTTAAAATTTTTATCTTAAACTAATACTTATACATCTATAAACATGATAATTATATTAAAGTAAAAAAATTGCCAGATTAGATCAGACTATACAGTATTACTGATACTATTAATAATTAAATGCTAAGTAATTTCACCTAGAGGTAAGTATTAGGTGCCACCTCATTAAATTTAATAATTATAATTAAATTAATAAATATTAATTTAGATGCTTCTGGAAGAGAAGAATCAGCCCAGAGTTGGACTTGAATCCACAGCATGGTGTGTATATGTTAGGCTCAAAGAACAAAAACACTCATTGAGCAAAAAAAATGTCCACAACATGTGGTTTCTTTAAATCATCCACAATGCATTGTGACTAACTCAAAAAGACCACAAAGCAAAATTTGCATTGTGGCTTTCATGATATTTGACCACTACACATTGCGGTGATTAAGAAAAGCCATAATGTGTTATGAATGATAACTGATGCAACCACAATAGAGGGTAATACGACACACAGTTGTTTGTAACTTTAAAATATGTGTTCTAGTCTCAAAACATTATTTACAATTTTTCTCCATTATTTTACGTATTTTATATATTTTTCTCCATTATTTTACGTATTTTATATTACGTATTTTTCTCCATACATTTTATTTGTTAGAAAGTTTTTATTTTGCTTAAAAGTGCTAAAGGTCAAACTACATGTACCAGTAGGTGTTTGATATACTCTACACAATGACATCAAAATCAGCTGTTAAAGTTAAAAACCACTGTGCAATGGATTTAAACTTTAAAAGCTGATTTTGATGTCATTGTGTAGAGTATATCAAGCACCTACTGGTACATGTAGTTTGACCTTTAGCACTTTTAAGCAAAATAAAAACTTTCTAACAAATAAAATGTATGGAGAAAAATACACATTTTGTTTTTTTTAAGTATGAAAATTAAATTTCTAGGAAAACTTGTAGAACTAATGTTGTTCAGCATTAAAAATTGTAAATAAAAATGTTTTGAGGCTAGAACACATATTTTAAAGTTACAAACTACTGTGTGTCATATCACCCTCTCGTGGCTTTTCTTAATCACTGGTCAAATATCATAAAAGCCACGACATGAATTTTGTTTTGTAGTCTTTTTGAGTTAGTCACAATACATTTCGGATGATTTAAAGAAACCACAACACATTGTGGACTTTTTTCACTCAATGAGTGTTTTTGTTATTTGAGCCTAATACATATATACATTACAAATGTATCTCAAAGCCCAATAGTTATATTGAAACCAAACAATTGACAGATTACTTAAGGCTATATTACTGCTACTATTAGTAATTAAATGCTAAGTAATTTAGCCTGGGGATAGGCTTTAGGTTCCATCTTGTGTTAAATTTAATAGTTATAATTAATTATCAATTTAATAAATATAAAAAATATGACAACAGCTACAAAAAATGAAGTAGTGTCTTAGATAAGCCTATAGACATAAATTGGGAAAATTTTCCAAAATGCAGGAATCTCATTTTAAAAATAAAATTGAAATGTTTACTTCGTTTCTGATCAGTTCAGCTACTTGTTGAATTGCTGCCTACTTAAGCAGTTATGTGCTTTGCAGTAAGAATGTGTCAGTCTTAGTTATAAAACCACAATTTTGACTTTTATAGAAAAACCCACAACTGAAATGGAGTTTTAAAAAAGAACTGAAAAAATTTGTTTTATTTCAAAACACTTTTTGACAATATTTAATGAGGAAATTTTGTGTTGTTTCAAATTAAAACAAAATATTCACTCATTCCCCACAAGGGAAGTTTACAAATTAATAAACAACATTTTAAAATCTTTTCTGAATTATATTTATCATAAAAAAAATATCATCATCAAAATATATTTTAAAACATCATAAAATATGGTTGCATTTAAAAAAACAAAACAAAAAATAATAATCAAAATGTCAGTCAACATTTTAAAAAAGTTTCTTTTTGCAAAATATTGGTGCATTTCTTAAATAATTTTTCAAGAAAAATTTGTATGATAATGTAAATAAACTGCATTTTTGGACATCAAAAGTACATTACTTAATGCCTCCTGCTAAAAATATTTGTGGTATCTTCAATTTTATTTCTATTAATCAATGCATTACATCAAGTTTATAATCATATACAGTGAAAACTGCTTAGGCGACCACCTGCATTCGACGGACACCTGTCAAAACAGGCAAAAATTTCTGGCACAGAATAGTTTATCCATAGAGTCTTCGTATAAGTTACCTGTATTAAACGACCACCTGTATAACGCAACCGCGAGCATCAATTTTTGGTCCAAAACAACATACAACACCTGTAATAAGCAACCACTTTCGCGAATGTATCTGGTCGAAACTATTGTAAGAACCCATCTCAATAATGTTTCCACCTCCTAATATAATGAATTAATCTAAACTCTTGTTCAAAGTTCGAACCCATCCTGGGCACCTCTCCCAGCCTTGAAATTAGGTGCAGATTTTAATAAATTAGTCTAGCAACAAAGGAAATTCATTTCAGTTTGTTGGAAAATGTACGAAATGCAAAATGCTGTCGTTAGAAGATCGCATTAAAGTTATCACAATAGCAATTAGCAGCGAAGTTTAACTGTGAGAAAACAAAATTTATTTTACCCTAGACCTACAGTATTTTCCTTGAGAGTGTAAAATATTGTACACGATACAATTAATCAGCTGATCTCATCGTTTGATAAAATCTATTTTTATTTATTTGTTTTGAAGCTCATATACAGTACGTGTGCGATAAATAGTTTCTGTATCAACCTACCTTATTTCCACGATATTTTTAGAAAAATAATATCCAAGTAATTTTTGCAGGCAAAATATTCAAAAAACAATAAATGTATTAATGCAAAAATCACGTTTTACTTTCTTTTTCGATTCCGTGATTGTAATGAAATCGTATAATGAGAAAAAATAATAAAATCGTTTTATTATTTAATAGCTGCAAGGACCCGCTTCGCTGGGTTTTTATTTGTATGTAATATAGTTTTTTTTTTATATATAAAAGACTGTTTTTCTAAGTAATCTAGAATCTAGCTGCAAGGACCCACAAAAATGCAAAAAACCGCCTGTAAATCTTGCATGCCGCTTTATATTAACACTTCCTTTGTTACTCAACACTTCCATTGTTAACACTTCCAGAATGTTCTAAATTTATTTAATAATTTATTTATTTAATTAAGAGATGGCGCCTAACTCCTACCTCTAATGTCAAATTAATTTATTCCAATCATTTAAAGTAGCCATATTATAGCCCGATAATTAGGCGATCGTTTGGTGAAGTTGTTAACACTTCCACTGTTGACAGTTCCATAGTTACACTTCTTTGAAGTCAACCACTTTCAACCCCATATCTCCCGCACCCTTATAGCTATCGAGACGCAACCACCACAATAGAGGGTAATACGACACACAGTTGTTTGTAACTTTAAAATATGTGTTCTAGTCTCAAAACATTATTTACAATTTTTAATGCTGAACAACATTAGTTCTACAAGTTTTCCTAGAAATTTAATTTTCATACTTAAAAAAAACCACAAAGCAAAATTTGCATTGTGGCTTTCATGATATTTGACCACTACACATTGCGGTGATTAAGAAAAGCCATAATGTGTTATGAATGATAACTGATGCAACCACAATAGAGGGTAATACGACACACAGTTGTTTGTAACTTTAAAATATGTGTTCTAGTCTCAAAACATTATTTACAATTTTTAATGCTGAACAACATTAGTTCTACAAGTTTTCCTAGAAATTTAATT